GTGGCCAGGAGCAGACTTGCAGAATGTGCCCTTTGGAGATGTAAATTATTATATATGCCTGAGTGGGTTTTTTTGTTTGTGTGTTTTTTAAAAAGCTAAAGTGGATAGAGAAAAATACTCTTAACTGATGGTACATGGAGGGGATTATAATCAATGTAATGAAACAAGGTGTATGATTTGTTGAATGTAAAACTGATGATAAACCCTGTAAACTTTCACTCAATCCACAATAAAATCCTTAAAAAAAAAAAAGCAAGTACTTAATGCAGAGAGAAGAGAAGAGGGCAAACAGGAACATTCGTAACATATCATTGTGCTTAAAACTATTCACTAACTTCCTGTTGTGCTTAGAATAAAATCTGAACTACTCATAATGGCCTACAAAGTCCTACATCTGGCTTCTCAGTACTTTCCAACCTCATCTACACATCATTCTTCCATTCCTTACTATGCTCCTGCCACAAAGGCCCTCTGATACTTCCTAGACCACTGCCTATCCCACTCTTGGAAATTGTTTTCCTTCTCTTTCCAGCATTCCCAGCCCCACTCTTTACATAAGGGCTTCTTCTCAGTGTTTGGGTCTTAGTTACAATTTCATTTGAACACTCTAGCTAAACTAGCTCCCATCTTATCTATGATGTACTTTTCACAATCAATAATTACCTTTTTATCCTTTTAAATGCAATGTTGGCGGTTCAAGCTCACCAGCTGCTCCTTAGAAACCCTACACAGGGTCGCTATGGGTCAGAACCAACTTGATGGCACTTCACAACAATCCTTATTCTAGCAGAATAAGATAACCTAATATGCCCTATTTACTGACTTATCTCAATGCTTAAATCTGTGCTTGGGATACAGTAGAAAATAAAGATTTTGGATAACCATGAATTAGCTGTATAAAATAAAAATAGATTTAGTTACAGGTCTAAAAATGCAGCTATATCATACTGCAAAGGCTCAACCTTTAGCCAAATAATAGGCCTATAAGGTGAATAATAACATCAGGGAGGTACAGCACTCATTAGAACAACTGACCAGATCACATGAGAAAAACAATGAAGCATTAGCCAGGGAGTCCTATTGTGGCCCTGTAGGATAAGCACTAGACA